GGGGGTGGGGGTGGAGGTAGGGATTTGTGAGGGATTATAGGTATGGATGGATAGATAGATGGAATGAAAGGAAGTGTTAGGGTGTGTGGTGGTGTGGTGGTGTAGTAGAAGGGTAGAAGAGGGGTGAGGGGTGAGGGTACTTGGTAAGTCTTATAGATACCTACCTATCTCGATATCAAGATAAGAATAAGAATAAGAATTTGGAAATCAGGGATGAGAAAGGAAAGGCATGGCATCGACCTATAGATCTGTTGGTGAGAATAAAGGGAGGAAGGAAGTGAAGCTTTTATTGTAAGATTGTATGAAAGAGGGACATTGTTGCTTGCTTGATGAATTGAATGCGTGGATTAGGTGGGTTTAGACGTTGACGGAGAGATTTGGAACGAGAGGGGGGAGATGGGATATTGTACGAGTAGATAAGTAGGTAGGTAGGTGGGGAGTGAATGGGTTGTTGTGAGGTGAGGTGAGGTAAGGTAGGTAGGTAGGTAGGTGCTATAGTGGTCTTGGACCTTGGATCTTGGAGGATGGTTTTTGGGTTGGACGGATTGGTTGGATTGGTTGGATTGGTTGGATTGTGGAGATGGAGGGAAGTAAGAGGTTTGGGATACTGGGTTCTTTTTTGTGGGGGTTGTGGTGTTTTTTTGTTAGGATGCTTGGAGAGGTAATGGACTATGGTGGATTTTATGTTTTGCGGGGATGTGGAGAGGAATAGGGTGATGGATATTAATGGTATTTGATATAGCTTGAGTAAGAGTCTTGAGTATAAATCACAATATAGGTAAACATGAGAGTTCCCTGGATTTCTTAGATACCTTCGACATGAGTCTCGCCTATATCCGTGCTCTAATCCTCGTTTGCTAGGAAGAGGCTCCTTGTTGGTTTGTAGCGAGTGGTTCTTTAGATGTAGCTCTGAATCTACTATAGGTTGGTGGCTTTGTATGAACATGATGAGCCTTGAAACGATATAATAGGCTAGGAGGAATTTAGTACTACTCTAATATACTTATAAGATAGAGCTAGAGTATTGTTCTTAAATAGAAATGTATTAAAGATATCATTAAGTTTTACTAAAGTAAGAGTAATAGATTTAAAAAGAAGTAATAAAGACTTAGGTTAAAGTATAATAGCTATATAGTTTATTGGTTTAGCGATTAGAGTTTTAGGAATATAACTAGGCTTATAAGGTAGTACTCTTAAAGAATAATAAGGTTTGTAAGTAAGAGTAGGTAAGAGTATAGCTTTATGTTTAATATCTACTATTAACTTAAGAGGTAGCTTAGGAAAAGAAGTAAAAATATTTAGATAAATATACTTATAGAAAAGTAATATAGTATTTTTTTCTAGTTCTTAGTTAATAAAATAAATAATAATAATTAAATATTAAGTAATAAACCTATTAATAAAGCTATATTCTAAATTAAAATTAAGAAGATTACCTAAGAAACTATAGTTTTTAAAATATAAATATTATAATCTATATCTTAAGTAAAAGGATAATTAAGATAACATATAGTTATAAGAATAATAGCTATAAGAATACTAATAAACTTCAAAAGATTAATTTTAGTTATATCTAAAGTCTTGTTATAATTATAAATATAATAAGGTAGAGAGTAAAATACTTATTAAGATTATAAGGTTCTAAGATATATAACCTTAGTATTATATTCATATAAGTAAAGATAATAAAAGTATAAGTAGTAGATATTATAATCTTACTAGTAGAGCTATAGAGTATTAGTATATTACTATATAATTAATTACTATACTAGTATATAATAGATTAATTTTAGTATTTAGAATCTAACTTTAAATTACTTATAAAAAAGTATAAATTCTTATAGTTACTTATTTATTTTAATTTATTAAAATAATCTTTATTTACTACGTAATAAATAACTATTATATTACTCTTTTTTAAACTAGCTTTTAACTTAATATATATTATTATAGAAAAGTACTTTTTTTTAATATAGTATAAAGTTATAGTATAAGATTCTTTAGTTTTAAAGTTAACCTCCTTTTTATTTATAGAGTTTTAACTTATAGTTACCTTATATTTATTAATTATAGAAATTAACTTGTTTAGTAACTATTATAATTATATAGTATATATATTCTTCTAGATTCTTAGTAAATATATTATACTTAATAGCCTTATATATTATAGTTATCTTATATTCTACCTAGATATAAAAGCTAATAGTATTAAATAGGGAAAGTAACTTCTCTTAATTATCTTATAAAATAATTAATTTTAACTTAACTAAGAAAGGATATATATAAATTACTTATAGTATATATAATATAAATTCTACTACTATTAATATAGAAAAGGTTTATCTTAGAAACTAAACTAGATATTATAGAGGAGGGTAATATAAGTAAGAGTAATAATAGAGTTTTATTTAGTATAATATAATAGAGTTTACTAGAAGGTTTAATTTAATAATAGATAGAATAAATTAAAGAGAGTAAAAGTTATCTAGAACTATTAAGAACTATTAAGAAAGATAGAAGTATTTATTAAAATATATACTAAAAATAAAAAAAGATAAGAATTTCTTAAGTAAGGGCTATCTAATATATATAACTACTATACTAAGTCCTAACTATAGTAGGAGTAATATAGCTAGGGTGACGGTTCTATGACGGTTAGAACCGTCACAGCTAGAGCTAATTTAGGTAAGAAAGGTTAAGTATTATATATACTATATAACTATAATATTTATAGTAATTTAATAATTTTAAGTAAAGTATATTAAGTTAACTTTATATTAAAAAAAGATATACTAATAGATCTTATAGTAAAGTATTAAATAATATAATATAGTAGAGTAATATATAACTATCTAGAAAGTAGTTAGTACTTATTACTCTTTTTTCTACTCTACTAAACTACTAGTATATAAAATATTACTTAATTAAAGAACTAAGGATTTTAGAGAATCTAGGATTTTAGTAAGTAAAGAAATAGAGAATATATATAAATATAATGAAGAAGCTATATAAAAAGTACTTAAATTAAAGTAAAATTAATATATAAACTTTTACTTATATATAAAGTATTACTAAAGCTTTTACTATAATACCATTTCCTTTTAAATATATAAACTTAATAAGTATTATAAAAATCTATATAAAAACTAGGCTTATATTAATACTAAATTAATCTTTATATATAAATTAAAGAGA